CAAGACATCGTATAGTCCAGCTGTGCGGAATTACGCAAGGCCTCTGCTAACCAGGCTAAGCATCTCTTTTTCTTTTACAATTTTTAACCATGCCTATAATTCGTAAACTACCTGCTCGCTGAGAAGCCCCTGGAGGGGAATAGGAGGTTGCCGGAACGTCTTCACTTTAGTAAGCATGCCATTGAATACTTTCCCCCCTTTTTCAGCTTATTGCAATAGTGTAAAACGTCGGTATTAAGTCGAAGTTCTACTCCAGAAGGTCCATACATATGCATGGCTTTCCCACACATTAATGACCTCTAGAGTAATGGGACCTCTCGGTAGTTTATCATCTGATTAGCCCTATCCCCAACTTCAAAGGGCAGCCCTAAATGCCGGAGCGCGTGGAGTCTTTCCGATTAAGGTCATTGCCGAGTTTGATGTAGTGTCTTAAGTGCGATGCTGCTGATTAGGCGCCGTACTGTCGCCCCGGTTGTCTTGGTGTAACCCGAATAAACAGCGCTCTCAGTGCTAGGGCAGGTCTTGAAGGATGTTTAAGTGAGGACAGTGGAGTTCTCAAACCAATGTTCAGCGGTTGTTGAGACTTTAGCCTTTCTAAGGTTGACATGCTCCCACGGGGATAGGAAAGACATGAGGTTGTCCGAAATTTCAACCTGTTTTCGAAGATGCGATTGTCGTAAAGCTGAAATTTGAGACGGTGGACGGGTACATCTGTAGCTGCTAATAATAGGTGACCAGTGGAAACGGGAGGCTGCTGAGGGGCTTTTCTCGAAAATACGAGCATCGATCATGGAAGACCTGCGTTCGCATGTAAAACATTAGCAAGATTGATCACTTCTCCAGCACAAAGTCTTCAATTCGATGCTTACCCACGAACAAATCTGCCATCTCTCCGAACATACTGAAAATCTGAGAGGTGATTGATTCCAGGGATGTGGAAACGCCCGTGAATGTTAAGCGTTGTCCAGACCTTTGCGGGTAATTTGCCGGTGAATACACTCCCACTGAACTGCCCAAGCGTGCCGTATCACGAAAGGAGGCGCTATCGCAAGATACGGGGGCATTGTGTTAGCATTGCATGGAAAATCGCGGAAAAACACCACTTTTTTGATGATAACGAGACGGAGCTTTAGGAGAGGCAGGAAAGACTCCAGGGTGCGTGAACAATTTTCATTCTTCCCGGCGTTCCTGCCCTTGCTAAGTTCAGCCCTAGAAGAAGCCCCCGCATCTTGCGGTAGCTCTGAAAAGAATCATCCAACTCGTGCAATCCTCCTGCAACTTTCAGCCGCAGGTCTGCAGAGTATGCTCGCATATGTGTGCTCGATTCCGTGATGACCAGCCTCCACGACGCTGCAAAGATCCGCATTTTCATTATGCTCCACGCTCAGCTTTTCATGGAAGGCGGCAGAGCGCCATGGAATTCATCACGTAGACTGCGGTGACGACATCCCCGTTGATTTGCATGCTTGCGAACGATGAGACGTCAATATGCAGAGAACCTGCCAATTCAGCGCGATGCTTCTCACTTGGTATGCATCAGCAGGCTCCCCTTGTCGGGACTGACTGCAACCAGAAATTTTTTTGGCCACGGCTTCCTTGTTAATGTGCGGAGGGGATTAGCTACGGAGTAGCTGTGATTGTAACTCACTTTTATGTATTGAATATGAATCGATGAGCATGAGCAAAGGTCTTGAGTGGCACTGGTAAAGGATTCAACGTTCATCTCACTCCGAGATTGACCAACAAATGCTCTTTAATAGTGTTTTATGGATGTGCCACGCATCGGACTCGTAATGCACTTGAATGCGATCTGGCTATACAAGGCTGTTTCAGGCCAGCAGCTCACAAGGATGGCCAACCGCCTGTTGTTCCTATTTCAGAAATTTTAACGCGCCCTCTCCCTCCCTGTTCCCTTTCGAAGGTGTAGGTCTCGATACGACCTACAACCGCCACTATAGGCTTTCAGGGCAGTCCAGTCGACACACTCGGACTTCGATCACTTTTCTCCTCCGATGGTGTCGAGCGGGGTGGGGGAGGTATAAATAGGGGTGGAAAACATGGCAAATGCTATAGTTTACCTAGTTCACTAGTTGAAAACCACCCTTTTCAAAATCACAAAGATTACCCGGTCGGGGTACCCGACAGAAGACCAGTCGCGCGAAAAGGAGGCAGAGCAGCGGACGAGTCGCAGTCTCGGTGTGTGAGATGACGCTGCCTTCTTCTCGTGTACAGTCATGGTACATTTTCCTTGAATTGAATCTAAATAATTACAGTACGCGCTCCGACTCTCCCCGCTTCCTCGCCTTCTGCCCGCGACGGCCTCCTTCGGGCACCCCTCCCCCGTGTACTTGGTACGTATTCTTGTATGTCTCGTAGTGATTATAGTTCGCATTGTCCAAAATGCCCCACACTGCGTGATAATCACGGTTCGGTAGATTACCTGAGCAATCTCCTTTATAAGGTTGCTAATGCGGAGATAATGGCACTACCCCGCTACTAGTCCATATTATTTCATGGAAAATGGGATACAGCCACGGTAACGCACTGTAAATCAACCCTCGTAGTGCAGTTGTTGGTGGATGAGGTAAATATTTTGATCTGGGACGACACATTAGTGATTACTGATCCGTTAATGATACGAGCCTTAGTGCCGGCCCGTCCATGTCTGCGAGTCATTCGAAACCTGGTCGGCAAAAATACAGGGTGCGGCTAACCTTGCTTGCTATACTATACACAGGGGGGCCAAAAAAAGACATTTTGCCTATGTCGGACTTCGGCTCTTTTTTCTTCGCAGAGATTGCTGTCGTTGACGGGAGTTCCTCAGCAGAGTATTCCCTAAGTGTTCCTCTATTAGTGTACGCAGGCTCTCCTTCACTGCCCTCACCGTCTTCAGAATATGACGTCATCTGTCACCGTCGTCAGGCTCAAGGAGGTCTACCGTAAGAGCTTCAGCCTGAAGCTCTTACGCAATTTCGTGAATCGATTTAATGTTGGATAGTTTTCTAGAGGCATTAGCTACCACTGTGCAAATCCCCTCGGAACTAGCTTTCCAGTAAGGGTCGTTATGGTACACGATCCTTCGAAGACCCCATTGAGATCGACCAGTGCACCATGTTTCCAGGGCTAATTCTTCTGATGCCGTCCACGTACGTGGCCACTATGAAGATTTTCTTATAGAATGGAATGCACTCTTTAATAATAAGTTGGAACCGTTCGGTCTGAGTTGAGTAAAATGTGCTTAAATCCATCTGGAAGTGGAGGCAAAATGTCTTTTTTTGGCCCCCCCTGTGAGAAGACAATCTTACCAAAATAGTCCGCCCACCTCTACATATTGCCCCCTCGGTTTTTTATATGAATCAATTATTATAAAAAATCTTAATTACCACATTTTTACCAATGACTATCTTATATCAATTGATCTCTGCCATTCAGACTCACCCGACATTCCGCCTTTCTCAGCAGCGGCTCACGAGCTATTCCGGGGATTCTCGTTCGTTTCACCGGGCGTGGTAGATGAAAAGAAGGACGATAAGAAAATTCGAACTATTCCGACGGCAAAGACACATCCCATCACGGACGACTACATTTTGAAAGAAGTGAGTTTTTTTGGGCACCCAAGAATGCCATTTTTGGATGACTCGAAGGTTATCAGTGGTGGTATGGAGAGAAGAGCAGGGCAAGCGTGACTGGATCGCAGCGCACGTGCTGTGCAGATGCTTGACACAATAATGACACATTATTTCTTGTGTTGAGAGAGACCAGCTAATGTATCTCTGCATAAGAAAACTGATGATTTTCTTCGGCTTTCATATAAGACTATTGGTTTGTTCCGTTAAGGCCTACTAAACATTAATTTCTAAGCTCATTTTTTCATTACGTTCATGGGTGGTGGTGCACTGAATGTTATTTCTTTCCCCCCACCCGGAAGAGCTGGTTCTAGTGTACTTTTACTTGATTTGAGCGGGTTTAATTAATATTTATCAGTACGCGCGCCCCGACTCGTCCGCTGTTTCGCCTTCTTCAGCCGCGCTGATCGGAGCCTCCTGTCCGGGCACACCTCTCGTGAGGCTATTGTGCGTATTCTTTGTATGGTTGCGCATTTGTGATTTAATTAGCTTGTCGTTTATTAGATTTTGTCCACAAATTGCGGCGTGGATAAGTCACGTTGTCGCGGTAGATCTACCGTGAAGCAATCTCGCTCTTATAGGTTGCTAATGCGGAGATATATGGCACTACCCCACCCTGCATCGCTCTCTAAGACTCGCTACTATCCATATTTATTTCATGGAATGGCCTAACAGCACTGTAAATCAACCCACGTAGTGCAGTTGTTGGTCGATGCAGTAAATATTTTGATCTGGGACGGCACATTAGTGATTACTGATCCGTTAATGATACGGAGCCTTAGTGCAGGCCATCGATGTCTGCGAGCAATTGAAACCCTGTGGCGGGCAAAAATAAAGCTGGCGGCTATTGCTTGCTATTCGATATAGAAGACATTTGACCAAATAGTCCGCACACTCTCGTACATCTTGGCCGGCTCGGTTTTTGTTTATGACTCAATATATTTTAAAAATGCTAATTACCCACTTGTACAATGTTCATCCTTAATCTTGATAGCAATTGATCCGTGACCATTTCAGACTCACCCGCAGTTCCGCCCTCAGCAGCGGCTCACGAGCTATTCCGGGGATTCTCGTTCGTTTCACCGGGAGTGGTAGATGAAAAGAAGGACGATAAGAAAATTCGAACTATTCCGACGGCAAAGACACATCCCATCACGGACGACTACATTTTGAAAGAAGTGAGTTCTTTTTGGGCACTCAAGAATGCCATTTTTGGATGACTCGAAGGTTATCAGTGGTGGTATGAAACATTTCGGACTAAACACTTAAGGGTGTATTCCATGTTCGCGAGTCTAGAAGCCTTGATTGACGTGAGTCCACGATCAACGTGGTGGTCTATGATCGGTAGAGAGAGTTGAGAAAGAGTTGGCATGACACGGCCCAACACCAGTCGATTGCTGGAGGACTGAGAAGGGCTACTCTTCAGAGTTGATTCTCTTAAGAAGCATTTCGGAGCGAGATGGGAACTCCCAAGTTAGCTTTTTTTCAGGGAGAAAGCAACCGCATCTTTAATTATTTTCCGTGACAAATAACCTTGAAGTGCAGACCAGGATCGGCATTGTCACATCGTTTTCCGCTTTTTTTGTGCAGGTCTATGTCAGAAACAGCTGATTGCTCGGAAACGTGTTGTGGTGTTACAGCGCAAACCGAGACCCGCTTCTCATGCCTCAGTGATCGAAGGTCGTCACCGTTGTTCGATCAGAGCGACTGCTTTTTCGCCCCCGTATCCCATGAAATCGACCTCTGGTCATTGAGGCTAATCGCTGACTGAAGCGGATGTCCGGAACGAATTCATCAAGAATGCAGCAATACTTCCTCTTCAGGGGGCGAAGTTCCTCCTCTCCAGGGAGTCATTACACGAGGGCACAATGAATTCAGACGTCACGATCGCTTTCACCCACTTAAAGATGCTTTGTTCAAAGGGTAGAAGAATCGTTTCAGTTATTCTACTCAGTACTTAAGTCCATTACTTAAATGAGTTGAGGTACTTTCTCAGCAATATCGTTTGTTCAGGAAGTCGGAACTGGGACATTCTCGATTGTTCGACGCTGCATAATGAAAACGACGAAGCGCGAGTTTGTCGTCAAGGTCAGCGTTAATTCGATCAGAATATTGTAATCGCAGTTATCACTTATTGTTGGGGACTGATTGCCGGGACACTTTCAGATCATCAAAAAATCGGTCTGTGATCCATGTGAAGAGGTGGACATACTTCTACGCCACGGACATCATCCGCATATTGTGAAGCTCTTTGATGTTTACGAAGACGAAACATATGTCAACCTTGTACTTGAGTACTGCCGCGTGGCGAAATGCTTGACAGGTGAGGCTGTACCCTTTTTCTTGGTGATTGTCTACAGAGTAGTTGTGGTATTCTGCTAGTTCAATCTCTGCTGATATCTCAAATTGAACGGTTGAATTCAACGCCAGACGGCAAGGTTAAAATTTCTAGTGAATAAACGCACTAGAATGTCACTTGTGCATATACTAAAGAGTACCCATCTGCAGCTTTCCGCCAGACGCTGCGCTCAAATTAACCCGTATGCGAACGATCTTCTCAATCATAATGTGATTAAGGGAATCGTCACGATTAGATTCTGGGAGCTTCTCTTTTTCAGTGAGGTGAGGGGACCCCTAATCTCGGGGTAGTTGTACTGCTGCAACTCGAAAGTGCGCGACAAGATATCTGCCTTTGCTTTACCCGTCGACAGGCCGCTGCCATTTTCTTATTGATACGTGCATGTCGCACCGCTGCGGCCCTCTCTCCGTGCTCCCTTCCTGGCCTGGCACCGCGCCCTCTCGATACATGCCTTCTCGCGTCTCCCTTTCCTGGCACGCTTTATTCTCGTGTACAACGATGACCTACACGAAATTCTCAGGGGGGGTTTTCTATAAGTTTCCCCATAGATTTTTCTCTTGCATTTCTTGTCTGAATTATTTCGAGTAAAATAACAAACCAGTTCGGTCCTGACTACACAGCTCTCAAGGGAGGTTTATCGTGGAAGTTGAAGGTGAAGGTAAATGAGCCCTTAACCAAAGCGTTTTCGACAGATATTTCTCTGCGAGCCCATTTCGCACCAATACCTTCGCATTCGTTTGAAAGAACCACACCAATTTGATCCTGGGGCATGCTTCTGATAAAAAAAAACAATTGTCGGTGTAGCCAAGCCACCACTTTTATTTTGTTATAAGCATGAATTTGTTATTTTCAGAATTTGAAGATTCATTTTTTTGCAGAATTCTGTCTAAGAAAACGTTTACCGAACGTGAAGCAGCCGCATCAATGGCAAACCTGGCGAGCGCCGTGTGCTACCTGCACTCGAACCAGGTATTCGTTTTTTTCCCGTACAATCACCAAGTTTTTTTTTCACCTGCAAATCTCGTTCAGGTGGCTCATCGTGATCTGAAGCCGTCGAACATCATGTACGCGTCCAGCAGCTGCGAATCGGACTCGCTGCGCATCATCGATTTCGGCTTCGCCAAACAGTCTCGAGCCGAAAACGGCATGCTGATGACGCCGTGTTATACGGCCCAGTTTGTGAGTTTGAGGCTCCCTATTCCGGTACACGAAGAAAAGACTGAAGGCTAGAAGTGCATACATTCGCAGTGATGATAAAGGGCAGATTTTTTGCTTCAAGTAGAATTGTCGATTTCAGGTCGCTCCGGAAGTGCTGAAGCGCCAAGGATATGATAGGTCGTGTGATGTGTGGTCTCTAGGTGTCTTACTCTACACAATGCTATCTGGCCAGACGCCATTCGCAATGGGACCTAACGACCCGGCTGACGAGATCCTCAAACGCGTTGGTGAAGGGCGTGTCACGATGGAGGGCAAGGCCTGGGAGGACATCAGCGACAATGCGAAGGTATGAGGGCATCCCTTGGACAACTGATTCTTTTTTCGAAACAGGGGGTAATGTCTTATCAGAAGGGACTGATTTTGGCAGTTTTTTTCTGGGGCAAGTTTTCCTTGGTGGGAATATTCCTGCTACTAGGGCAAGGAAGTCTCCATCCGCTCTGTCTTCGGTGCTCTCTGTGACAACCGTGTTCATTCTGCCGTTTCTAGGACCTTGTTCGCAAGCTGTTGGACGTGGATGCTTCGCGGCGCCCCGCTGCAAAGCAAATCCTTCAACATCCTTGGATTACTCATAGAAACAGCATTCCGGCAACCACAATTGTAAATAATGTGTACAACGTGGAATCAGTCAAGGTGAGATTGAATGGTGCTCGATTTCTGAGACACTCAAAAGATTACGTGGTGATTCCAGGGCGCTCTTGAGCAGACCTACCGAGCGCTGACAACGACCAGTACCGTCAATCTCCGTCCAGTGAACGCTTCGGCTTTGGCGAAGCGACGACTGACTCAGTTGCCAAAGATGGGCGTTTGCTCATCCTGAGAGGACCATATATCGCCTACTGTGATCGGCCACTGACCGACTCTTTATCTGCTGATCTTCCCATCAAGCTTTCTTTTTCTTTAATAATATCCGATAATCAATATCAATCAATATCAAAAACTCTTGTACGCAATGTACTGCCAAATAAGCACTCTTTTTGTTTGTCGTGTTTTTAATCGTGCTCTGTTCAAGCGACAGAACACTGTTTGCCGTTTAGTTCTCGGGACATCTGTCCCAAAACGACAGTGTTCTTTCGTTTCTTAGCAGCAAGCACGTGAAATAATCGCTATGGGTAAGGGGACCAACGTTTTCGGCAGGAAAGCGTGGTCATCCACAAGCATAGATGCATATTATATCGATACACATTCCTTGATGAGTCTGTGATGAACTGATTCTCCTCGTTCCTTCAGAGTTTTCCCCTCTGTTCAATAATTCTCTTTCTCTCTTTCTCTTTCTCTTTTTCTCTCTGCTCTCTGTGTCTCTTCCTATCACACACAATCCTATCGTTGTCGCCACAAGTGCAACTTACACTAGCATCTCTAGTATGTGTTTATCAACAGGTTTTGAGTTTTATCGTTCTATAACCGCACTGATAAGTAGGTTTGTGCCTATTTCTTGTGTACACTGTTTCTAAACGAGCTTCACTAAAACGTATCATAAACCTCTCATCTGACCAGAGGGATGTGTATTTATTTCTGTCTTTTTGTCCTTATGTAAAAATGTCTCAATCACTACTCAAATGTTATGATGCGTTTCCAGTTTTGTACATGTTATCATGATTTTATTTTACAAATTCCTAACTAATATAAAAAATTAACTCTTACCTTCGAATTTGTGAGTAGTGGATCTAGTCCCTAAACGATGTCGCGATGTGAACAAATGCGAAGACGCTTTTGAAAGGCTGACACAATCGTCCTTGATTTTCTACTTAATTCACTTCATTCATTCACTACTTCGGACTGCGATGGAAATGTTTTGGGCGTTTGAGACTGATGCTGATTTATACTCGTCTTGTCATTGAATTGTGCGGTGACTCAGAGGTGTCAGGGTATTGTGAACGAGTAGTAGCACGAAAGGAAACATTTCTGAAAATTCTGAATTTGAGGAGTCATCATAGGGCTCGGGATCAGGTTCAAACATGCGTTCGCACCATACCGAGGGGGTCGCATTTAGAGGTTGAGTGGGATGAGTGGGATTAGTGATTAGAGGGAATGACGAAGCGATTTATATTTGTTTTTTGTTGGGAATCATGGAAGTGGCTTTCAGAGCATCGTGAGGTAGGATAGGTGGGAGTAGAGAAAGAGTAGAGAAAATTTGCTGTTTCATTACCCCCCCCCCCCACTTATTCGTTTTGGAGGAAATATGGGCGGAGTTGGGCTGTGTCATGTCGACTGATCTTAGAATCAAATGCTATAGAGACGGCCAGATGGCGAGGGTGGTGGTCGGGAATGGTGGTCGTATTGGGGGCCTCCTATACCCCGACTAGAATTCAGGACTACGCCTTCCTTGAACCGCGCTATAACAAAGCCTCGTGCTCTTTCTGCACCTATAACGTTGCGCATTTTCTCCAAGTCGTCCTTTGTTGAAGCCCCGGCATTTGTTGTCATGCGTACTGTCCTTGTTATGAATTGTATGCCAAACGAGGTTTTTAAGATGGAATCTTTATTCACTGGCCTTACGTTTCGACCGCTTCGTCTTCTTCAGAGGCCTGGAGATGTCTGAAGCTTTTGATTGTTAGCTGCCATTCGTTCAATCACTTATTGCGTTCTCAACGGCACAGAACTTAGCGAACACTGCCGTCAAGTCAAGTAAGCTTGATTCACCGAAGAATTCACCGATGCGGAGCTTTCGCTCAGCCCTGTACAGTTAGTTACACGTCAGTGGAAAATGAGCCTCACTCAAGTCTCGTAGTGTCATGTCAATTTGCACATCGCACTCACAGTTTGCACTGCGAGAGCCATGTTCAGGCCTCTGGAGAAGACGAAATGTTCGAAACGTAAGGTAGTAAGTAGAGGTTCGATCTTAAACTCGTTGGCATACCGTACATAACAATAATATTATAAAACTGTGCGCTTATGATAGCTTGTCCTCTCTCAAGCAATGGGTTGGTTGAGTTGGCTGGATTCGTTCAAAAATCACAAGGCCATTTGTTACTAACAAGGGAAGGATACCAGGTCGAAGTGGCCATTTGTAACGAGACATACACCACTAGATGTGTTTTTGGACGCTGATCTCGAATCTGCTCTCCAAATCTGCGAAACGATTCTCTGAACGTAGTTATGAAGCGAGATAGTGCAGTGGCAGCGGCCCAGGCCGACGAACAAGAGGTCGTGGATCGACTTCTTGGCGAGTTCTTATTTTTGCTTTCAATCACACAAGCAGAAAGAGCTGGCGAAGTGCTTCGAACACTGTGTGCGTCATTTGCAAATGACCGTCTCTGGCACCCGTAGCGCATGCGTCATGCACTTTCTTGCCAAACAGATGTGATTTTCGTGTTCAGCGCATCAAACTACCCCTTCCGACAACTTTTGGTCCAAATCCAAAATTTTGACCTAAAGTCGAAAATGTGGGCACACACGACCGACAGGACACGGCAAATGACGCGCATAGTGTTCGAAGCTCTTTGCCAGCTCTTTCCACTTATAGGATAGGCAGTCGCTGATGATTTAGCATGCATAAGATGGTTCTTTTAACAATATTCTCAAGGTATCCTTCCCTTGTAAGATCATCCCCTCGCCCATATCTTGTAATGATCGTCTTCTGTTATCCCTTCGATCCAGTCTCTCTTCTCTCCACGTCAACAAACTTACTTATTCGAATTCATTTCACCCTTCACATTCAACAGATCTGATTTCACTCGTTTTGGGCGTTGGATCAGGTTTCAAATCATTGCGTTCGCACCATACCGAGGCGTCGCATGTAGAGGTTGAGTGGGATGAGTGGAATTTGTGATTAGAGGGAATGACGAAGCGATTTATATTTGTTTTTTGTTGGGAATCATGGAAGTGGCTTTAGAGCATCGTGAGGTAGGATAGGTGGGAGTAGAGAAAGAGTAGAGAAAATTTGCTGTTTCATTGCCTCCCCCCCCCACTATTTTTTTAGGAGAATGTGGCGGAGTGGCGGGGGCCTGTGTCATGTCGGAGCTGATTCGATAGAATCAAATGCTATAGAGACGGCCAGATGGGCGAGGTGGGTGGCGGCGAATGGTGCGTCGGTATTTAGGGCCCTCCAACACCCCGACTAGAATTCAGGAACTACGCCTTCCTTGAACCGCGCTATACAAAGCCTCGTGCTCTTTCTGCACCTATAACGTTGCGCATTTTCTCCAAGTCGTCCTTTGTTGAAGCCCCGGCATTTGTTGTCATGCGTACTGTCCTTGTTATGAATTGTAAGCCAAACGAGGTTTTTAAGACGAAATCTTTATTCACTGGCCTTACGTTCCGACAATTTGGTCTTTTTCAGAGGCCTGGAGATGGTCTGAAGCTATTCAATTGATTAGCTGCCATTCGTTCAATCACTTATTGCTTCTCAACAGCACAGAACTTAGCGAACACTGCCGCCAAGTCAAGTAAGCTTGATTCACAGAAGAATTCACCGATGCAGAGCTTTCGCTCAACCTTGTATAGTTACACGTCAGTGGAAAATGAGCCTCACTCGAGTCTCGTAGTGTCATGTCAATTTGCACATCGCACTCACAGTTTGCACTGCGAGAGCCATGTTCAGGCCTCTGGAGAAGACGAAATGTTCGAAACGTAAGGTAGTAAGTAGAGGTTCGATCTTAAACTCGTTGGCATACCGTACATAACAATAATATTATAAAACTGTGCGCTTATGATAGCTTGTCCTCTCTCAAGCAATGGGTTGGTTGAGTTGGCTGGATTCGTTCAAAAACCACAAGGCCATTTGTTTCTAACAAGGGAAGGATACCAGGTCGAAGTGGCCATTTGTAACGAGACATACACCACTAGATGTGTTTTTGGACGCTGATCTCGAATCTGCTCTCCAAATCTGCGGAACGATTCTCTGAACGTAGTTATGAAGCGCGATAGTGCAGTGGCAGCGGCCCGGGCCGACGAACAAGAGGTCGTGGATCGACTTCTTGGCGAGTTCTTATTTTTGCTTTCAATCACACAAGCAGAAAGAGCTGGCGAAGTAGCTTCGAACACTGTGTGCGTCATTTTCAAATGCCGTCTCTGGCACCCGTAGCGCATGCGTCATGCACTTTCTTGCCAAATAGATGTGATTTTCGTGTTCAGCGCATCAAAGTACCCTTGCGACAACTTTTGATCCAAATCCAAAATTTTGACCTAAAGTCGAAAATGTGGGCACACACGACCGACAGGACACGGCAAATGACGCGCACAGTGTTCGAAGCTCTTGCCAGCTCTTTCCACTTGTAGATAGGCAGTCGTTGATGTCTTAGCATGCATAGAATGGTTCTTTGAACAATGTTTTCAAGAAAAGCAGCTGAAAACTCGCCAAGAAGTCGATCTCACGACCTCGCTCGTCGGCCGGGCCGCTGCCACTGCACTATCTCGCTTCATAACTACGTTCAGAGAATCGTTTCGCAGATTTGGAGAGCAGATTCGAGATCAGCGTCCAAAAACACATCTAGTGGTGTATGTCTCGTTACAAATGGCCACTTCGACCTGGTATCCTTCCCTTGTAAGATCATCCTCGGCCCATATCTTGTAATGATCGTCTTCTGTTATCCCTTCGATCCAGTCTCTCTTCTCTCCACGTCAACAAACTTACTTATTCGAATTCATTTCACCCTTCACATTCAACAGATCTGATTTCACTCGTTTTGGCAAACCAGCTCGCCCTCCATGTAAAGGGAAGGTTCAAATTATAGTAACTCAGTAAGCTCCAGTCATGACGGATAGCCACGAAACGTGTGCAGCGGTACAGCTTCCTCTACGGCCTAGCATAACCGAGCCTTCGCCTAGTTTCAAGGATGACAGCTGATACTTTAGATCGAAACGTTTTCCGTCAGGACC